ACTTAGGTTTTCATGGTATATTACACTATAATCAACTGTACACATCCAACACACTGCGTCTTTTTTTCTTTTCTTTTCTCACTTTTCTTTCTCCCTTTATATTCATCGTCGTTGTATATATGTGTGTATTACGTTATTTTGCTTCAAAGAAGAAAATAAGAAAAGGAAGAAATTTATATTTTCGCCGAAATGCATGCTTGTTTATCCTATATTCTACCAACTTCCCAGATTAAAAAGTTAACAAATTTGAAAATACCCCTCTCCAGTTTTCCTGGCAGTTTGAAGTACACAAGTTGTGCTCTATGCCGAGCTATTTTGTAGAAAAAGGTACATTGTATTTCTTGAGTTATATGTCCATTAATATCACAGCTGAGCATAAGAAAAATCATAATTTCTTTTATGTTCAGCAGTTAAATAAACTCCTTTTGACCACCATGACTTTCCGGCTTTCTCTTCGGGTCATGATAGCCAGGGATAATATTTGTCAAAAATTTTATTTTGTTTAATAAGTGAAATGACAAGTCATTTTTTGATTCGAACCTGTCGAGAATTAGTCTATACTTTTTCATGATCAACATACAATAAAATTCATAATGATTGTGGTTGCTCGAACGCAATGAGTAGTCTCTTCCTTGTCGATATAATACATAGATATTCGATTTAAATATTATTCTCTTATATTGAGTTGAAGAGAAAGGTAGTGTGCATATGCATGTTGTATGTCACGATAAGAAAAATGAAGAATTGAAGAGTCAAGAATAGTCCCTTATAGTGTCAGAAAACCATAGTCTCTCTTATTTTTCAAAAAACAGAATAAGAAAAGGAAAACATTTATATTTTCATCGAAATGTATATCTATTTCTATATGCACATAGAAGGTGCATTGACAGCTCTGTATCTCAAAAAGTAGACTGTACCCTTTTCTAAAAACTAACTCAGCATAGAGCACAACTTGTGGACTTGAAACTGCCAGGAAAACTAGAGAGGAGTATTTTCAAATTTGTTAACTTTTTAATCTGGAAAGTGGGTAGAATATAGGATAAACTTGCAGCGAACCTATTGAATAGGTACGATTCAATCAATCTTTTAAATCTGATTCATTCTTAATCTTTAGATAATTGTTTTGGAAAGGATTTCAGAAGAACCGAGAGAAATTGCTAATAATGAACACCACTAGCATCATGAGAACAAAACCAGCTGTTCCTGCAACTTCTAATAAAAAATCTTTATTATATTCCGAATTATATGACAAAACATCTCGTTCGGTGCCTTACAAAATTTTATTTTGATCACCAAAACCCAAATGTGTATCCATAAAATAGTTCAGTTTTTGTTTAACGTCATTGATTTCTTTATTAAAACCCATATATATACTTTTTTATTTACAATTGTATTTAGTAAAACTTCGAATTTTTGAGGGTATTTGACAACATTATCCACGGTACAAGACTCACTAATGAAGGATTCGAAAGTACGTCGTAGAAGAGCCGAGAGTCATGCATGGTTACTATTATTATTGTTATTATATGGTCAACTTTATTCTGCCTATTGTTGCCTTTATTCTGTTGTTTGAACAAATATAAGTAGAAGAGAAAATCAATCACATACTTACAGAACACGACAAAAATATTGATACAAATCATTTTCATCACTACCACCCGTTGTTTGCCTAACAGCAGCATGTCATCCAACACTTTCAGCAATTCGTTTAATACCGTTGTGGATGTGGGCAAAATAATAGCCATTGTCGTGGGCTCGATCGTCGGTGCAGTAATTCTAATTGGTATCATCATTGTACTCATCTACATTTGTAAATCGAAGAAGAAAGTGGGCGGTGTGATATTGTCTCAGCAGCCTGCATATCAGCAACAACAGCAACGTTTCCAATCTTATCCTGCCCCTTATGCTACATACTCAGCGACAGCTGGTAGCTATGGTAGTGGGCCACAGTTTCCCAGTGCTCCGCCGCCCTATTCTCAAGATCAATGGCAAAACCAACAGCAACAGCCACCTACTCGCCAAAATACAAGTATAAATCCTCTGCCTCAACAACGTGTGGCAGAAAGTCCGCTACTTCAACATCCTCCCAGTGAAATGCCAGCATTAGCTGTATCAGAACAGTAACGCTTTTTAGCTTATTTTTCTTATATTTTACCTTGACAACCTCTCACTTTCTCTCTCTTTTTCTATATGTATATACTCGAAAAGTATAGGAGCATAATAATTATGAGCAAAAGAAGAAATGAATCAATCGCTTTGGTAGAGCCACACAGCGCAGAAATCTTTGGATTTTTCTCTTCTTCAAAGCCTCATTCATTTAAATATTCCATTCTTTAACTACGTCAGCGACATTTTCTTTTTAGCCCACTTTTTTGAATCACGTTGAACGGCCGGCTGTACAACGAGTATGCAACACACAAGCGGAGGAGATAGATGAAGAATGTTATTTTATGATACGAGGCTTTGAAGAAGAGAAAA